AAAGAGAACCTCACAACTGTAGAATAAGCCCATACCAGCCACCTATTAATCAGACACTAAGTGTTACCAGACATTTAAAGAAAAATAGCACAAAATAGAAGGCCGTGAAGTAAAACAGGAAACCTCAGATGAAAAGAGATAATTCAGGGAACTGAAGAAATTGAGAGCAAAATATTCTAACAAGTGCCACCAAATAAATTTTAGATAATATCTCACCCAAAAAATAACAATAGACTTTATAGAAAAGCAGCAATCAGAGCACAGAAATGAATTCAGAGGAATAAAAATTATGGCCAAAATAAAGAGTTAGTTACAGATTAACTGAATTATAGAATGAGCAGAGATGAATATAAAATAATTATTCTGGGATTTAAATCTGATGAAATATCCCAGAATGTGGAATAACAAGAAAAATGGGGCTTAAATAAGGAAGGCAGGTTAAGAGACACAGACGATCACCAGTACAATCAAAATCCAGTTAAAAGCAGTTCTAGGGAAGATCAAATAAAACAGAAAAGACAAAGTTATCAAAAAAGGTGATTGATAGATGAATGAAGAATTGAAAGAAGGAAGGGAGAGAGGGAGGGTAGAAGGCAGGAAGAAAGGATGGGTGAAAAAAATTGTCAACCAAGAATTCTATATCTGTGAAAACTATCTTTCAGAAATGAAAAAGAAATTAAGACATTTCTAGATAAACAAAAACTGAGAGCTTGTCACTAACATATCTACCCTACAAGAAATACTAAAGAACATGTGTCAGGCTGAAATGAAAAGACACCAGAGAGCAACTCAAATTCATATGAAAAAATAAAGACCATCAGTAAAGATAACTACATAGGTAAATATAAAAGGCAATATAAATATATCTTTGTATCTATTTTTCCCTAACTTATTTAAAAGATGACTAAAAAAAGAAATAATTATAAATCTGTGTTGACAGGCACATAATGTATAAAGTTGTAATGTGTAATGACAGCATAAAGAAGTTGGGGAGGAAAACAAGACTATATAGAAACAAAGCTTTGTATACTATTAAAATTAAGTTGGTATTAATTTGAACTAGATTGCTATAAATTAAGATGTTAAATGTAATTTCTATGGTAACTACTAGGAAAATAACCCAAAAGTATATAGTAAAAGAAACAAAAAAATTAAAATGGTACACAAGAAAATATCTAAGAAAAATAAAGAGGAAGAAAATATACATAAGATATATAGAAAATAATAGATCACCAATTACATTAAAAGTAAATGAATTAAATTTTCCAAACACGCAGGACAGATGAAAAACAAAAGCATGATCTATCTATATGCTGTTTAGAAGAGACACACTTTAGATTCAAAGACACAAATAGTTGGAAAGTTAAAGGATGGAATATATTTTTGTAACAACAACAAATTGTAAATTGTAACAACTACAAAAAAAGAGCTGAAGTAGCTATACTAATAAGAGACAAAATAGACTTTAAGACAAGGTTTGTTACTGGAGACAACAAAGGACATTTTATAATGAAAGAGGATCAACTTATCAGTAAGATAAAACAATTATAAACATATATGCACCTAACAGCAGAGTCACAAAATACATAAAGCAAAAACTGACAGAATTGAAGAGAGAAATAGACCATTCAAAAAATAGTTGGAAACTTTAAAAACCTGCTTTCAATAATGGATAGAACAATAGACAAAATGTCAGCAAGGAAACAGAAGAGGAGAACACCACCAAAAGCTGTCAAAATGATACAAAAAAACCAAAACAACTAGACTCAACAGACATCTTTAGACCATTTCACCCAGGAATGGCAGTATACACATTCTTCTCAAATGCATATGTAACATCCTCTAGAATAGACCAAATGTTAAGCCACAAAACAAGTCTCGGTAAGTTTAAAATAACTGAAATCATAGAAAGTATGTTCTCTGATCCCAATGGAATAAAACTAGAAATCACTATCAGAAGAAAATTGAGGAAATTCACAAATGTATGGAAATTAAACAACACTCCTATCTGAGCAATGGGTCAAAGAGGAAATCACAAGGGAAATCAAAAAATACTTTGAGATGATTTAAAAAAAAAAAAAAAACATACAAAAACTTAATAGATGCAAGAAAAATAGTGCTCAGAGGAAAATTCATAGCTGCAAATGCAGACATTAAAAAAAGCAAAAGATCTCAAATCAATAACCTAAACCTCCACTATAAGAAACAAACAAACAAAAACAAAAACAAAAAAACAAAGAAAGCAAACAACACAAAACAAAGAGAAGGAAAGAAATAATAAAGATTAGAGTGGAAATAAAACAGACAATACAAAACAATAGAGAAAAATCCACAAAATCAAAAGTTGGTTCTTTGAAAAGATCAACAAAATTGACAAACCTTTACTTATGCTAACCAAGAAAGAAAGGGAGAAGACTCAACTTTACTAAAATTTGAAACAAAACAGAGGCTATTACTATTGACCTTATAGAAATGAAAAGGATTATAAGAGAGAAGTAAGAACAATTGTATGCCAATAAGTGAGATAACCTAGGTGAAATCAAAAAATTCTTGAAAGACATAAACTACTAAAACTGACTCAAGAAGAAACAGAAAATCTGAATAGCCTTTTACAAGTAAAGAGATTAAATTAGTAATCAAAAAATTTTCCATAAAGAAAAATCCAGGACAAGATGGATTCTTGGTGTATTCTACTAAGTGTTTAAAGAAAAATTAACACCAGCCCTTTACAAACTCTCCCAAAAAGTAGAATAAGAAGAAACCCTTTCTCATTTATTCTATAAGGCCAATAATATCCTGACAATAAAACCAGACAAAAACATCTCAAGAAAGGAAAACTACAGAAAAAATTAAGGATGATTGTGTTCTAAAGGACACCATCAGGAAAGTTGAAAAGAAAACCCACAAAATAAGAGAACATATCTGCAAATCATATATCTGATCAGGGCCTAGTATACAGAATACATAAAGAACTCTTACAACTCAACAGTAAAAAGACAAATAACCTAATTAAAAATGGGCCAAAGTTTTGAATGAACATTTCTCCAAAGAAGATGTACAAATGGCCAATAAGCACATAAAAAAAATGTTCAGCACCATTAGTCATTAGGTAAATGCAAATCAGAACCACAATGAGATACCACTCTGCACCCATTAGGATGGCTTCTATAAAAACAAACAAACAAAAAACAGAAAACAACAACCGTTGGCAGGGATGTGGAGAAAATGGAGTTCTCATAAATTGCTGGTGTGTATATAAAATGATGCAACTACCTTGGAAAACGGTTTGACAATTCCTCAAAAAGTTAAACATAGAGCTATCACATGACCCAGTAATTCCATTCCTAGGTTTACCAAATTAACTGAAAACATATGTTCACACAAAAACTTGTAGAGTAATGTTCTTAGCAGCATTATTTATAATAGCCAAAAAGTGGAAGGAACCAAACATCTATTAATTAATGAATAGGGTAAGCAAATGTGGTATATCCACACAGTGGAATATTATGCAGCCACAAAAATAAATGAAGTACTGACACCTGCCACAATGTGGAGAAACCTTAAAGATGTTATGCTAAGTGAAAGAATCTAGACACAAAAGACCACATACCGTTGAGATTCCATTTATATTAAATGTTCAGAAAGGGAAAATCCATAGAGACAGAAAGTAGATTTGTGATTGTTAGGGACTAGGGCAAGGGTGACTGAGAAATGAATGCTAATTGATAAGGGATTTCTTTTAGGGTGATGAAAATGTTTGAATTGGACAATGATGATAGATGCACAACCTTGTGAGTTATACTAAAAACTACTAAATTATTTATTTTTAAATGGTGAATTTTATACTATGTAAGTTATATCTCAATTAAAAAAATTAAATGTTCCAAATATTTCAATTAAGAGACATATAAAAAAATACATTTTGGTTCATTTTTTTCACAATAACTTTGAGATGGATTAGAGAGATTAAATGTAAAACATAAAATCATTAAAATTAGAACTTAATATAAATTATATTCAGAAACCATAAAGAAAATGATTGACAACTGAGTATATTAAAATGTAAGACTTCTGCATGATACAGCATCATGACTGAAATAAGTACCGGATCAAGAGAAAATATTTGCAACATATATGAAATGTATGAGAGCACATTAAAAAAAAAAAAAAGACATGGCCAAAAGCTATAAAATATCTTCTAATTCAAATAAGAAATACAAATATTCAATAAACATTTTAAAGTTTATATACGAACTCAATTATAAGTAAGCTGCAAATTAAAACAATCACTAGATAACAATGTCTTCCTATCTTTAAAATACATTGTTTATAAAAAGTATTAATGAAATTGTGTTGGAATGGGTACTCACATGGACTATCAGTGCAAGTATAAAATTTATAAAATTTGAGGGGGGGGGAATTTGGCAATATCTTTCAAAATATGCATATTTAAATCTAGGAATTCAATTTCTCAGTATCTATCCCCCCAAAAAACTGCACATGTCCACAATGTGAAATGTAGAAGGATGCTTATTGCAGCCATGTTTATTATAGCAAAATGCTGGAACCCACTCAAATGTTCACCTGCAGACAACCGGTTAGATAAATCAGTCCACAATCATTCCATTATATACCTCCCACTCACTTTCTTAGATATCAAAAGAGCAAGGTAATTTCAAGGAAGAAATTAATTTTCAAAACAATGCTCATGGTATGGTCCCATTGACAGAATGTAAAATAAAACAAAATCACTTTCTATACACCAAAGTGTTAACTCTGGCTATCTCTGGAATGCGGGGGTAGGTTATGAAGAGTAAAAGTGGACTTCCATTTTTTAATTTATATTATCACTTCATTGTTTGAATTTTTATAACAAGAATTAATAATACAAGATTTAAATAAAATGTTAACTTTAAAAGTATACATATTGCTTATGTAATACTGCTTAATTTTAAATCTTAATTTTAATTTAGAATAAAATAAAAGAAGAAAAGTCTTACCTTCCAAATTTTCTATTTTTTCAATGTTATTTAAAGCTAAATTCAAATATTCAAGTTTCTTGAGTTTGCTAACATTTTCTGAAATAAACAAATAATGTAGTTAATTAACCCTCAAAATCAAAGACATTCTTACACAATCTATTGTGAAAATGGGAAAGAGAATCTAAGGATTATTATTATCATTATTAAAACCATGTTGCTTTTTCAAATTCATACCTGTACATCAGACTATGTGGTTGCCTTTGCAGTATCCATTTCTTCCTCCATCCTTCCTAATGGAACCCAGTTTGGCTCATGACTCTACCCTGCCCCAACTTCCGGGGGTGAGGTTTAACCAAGCTGGACCAGTGCATAGCAATCCAATCTCTCTTGCTAATGACAGCCCAGGAACCTAGGCTTACTCAAGCCAACCAGCTCATGGCAGTCTCCTGGCAACCATGTGGTACAGGAGAGGGCATGTACACCAAGTACTCTCAATCAGATGAAAGGGAAAGATCTATGTTTCATGCTTGGGGATATCCTATCTCGTCTTCCTGCTGGACTTTAATAAGAAAGGAAGTGCTATCTGTATTGGTATTCACACTTAATCATGAGGAAACCTATTGTGAGATGAGGCCCACCCACACTGTAGCTGCTAGAGCAGACAGAAGGAATCACCCGCCGTTGGAGTCTGCCCTACCTCTAGACATATAGTTGGGTAAGTGAATAGATTTCCTTTCTGTTAAGCCACATTGAGTTGTTTTTTTTTTTTTTCACTTGAAGCCAAAATAAACCTGATACAGGATTACCTTCATGAATAAATATGAAAGCCCATACAGGCAAAACAACATGCATAACCAATTCAAGGAATCACTGTAGAATGAGGCCTTTTAAAAACAGCTAATAATACCATAGCTGACATTGCTGAATATTTATTATATGCCACACTGTGTTCTAAGAATTTTGCATATATTATCTTATTTAATCCTCATAATAACCCTGTAAGGTAAAAACCATTGTTGTCTCCTTTTACAAATGAGAATACCAAGGTACCAAGAATTAATCTACTTGTCCAAGGTTGAGTGACAGAGCCAGGAAGCTTGGCTCCAGAGCCCAGCACCAAATCATTATACTACACCTTAAAAGAACAGTCTTTTCTAAGATGACATGAATGTAGAAAACCCTGCTAAGGAGTGTATGTTTGGGGCAGCTTCACTTAAATACTCCCTCCTCTGGTCATGCCTCAGAGAAACTACAAAGATGGAACACGGTGATTTATAACCATCACTCTTATCACCATAAATAGTTCATCTAAAATTTACAAAACACCATATATTTCTTCCATAGACCTGAGAATAATATTTACCTCTCTGAGCTTCAGTTTACTAATTTTTCAAATGATGATTTTGAAATAAATTACTAAAGTTTCTCTTAGCAATTAAATTACTCAAAGTAATACCAATGTTTACGAAAGGTTCTCTAGCAACATCTGAGCATTCAATAGTCAACAGATTTGGAGGTTTCTGTGTGCCAAGAATTATAACAAAGTGTCTAGTCTGCATCCTGAACAAAAATATTTAAAGTTATCATTGTTAAAATTGCCATCCCACAGCAAAATACCTGTTCAAAGTAGAATTCCCCTTCCCCACCCTTTGTTACTTGTGTAGCCCTCTAAATGATAAGAGTCAGCTGATAGAAAAAAAGGTAAGATCTATTCAGGAAGGACTTCCTAAGTTAACTCTTTGGGAAAAACAGGGGCAAAATTGGTCTGGGGGAGGGGGGACTCTGTAAGTAAAGATGTATAGAACCTCTAGGGCAGTAGGCAGGGTGTCTGAGAGTTCTAACCCAAATCCTTCCAGAAGTTCTCACAAAGTGCCATGAGCAGACCTGCAGCTTGCAGTGGACCAAATCACTTCTCAGGTTTAAGAAGCTCTGCAGCCCTCAGCTCTACCCAGGCGTGATGCCTATTGGGACACTGTTGCAAAAGTCCATTGCTGGAGACTTCCCCTACAGGTTCTGATTCCATAGGTCTGGAGTGCAGCCCAAAACCCGCACTTGAATGAGACCCCAGATGGTCCTCAGCTACCACGTGGAGCAGCAGTAAGCAGAGCCTTCCTCCGCAGCCCATCTGCATCACCCAGTGTGGAACAGAGCTTTAGCAAAGGCAACTGCTTCATAAACTTCAACCTCAATGGCACAAGAGCAAGTCTGAATCCCAGAGAAGTCATTTTACTTGCTAAATAAGTGCCTGAATGCCTATGGGTGGAGTAGCATTGAAAAAAATCCCATTATTAGGATTTAAAAGAGTGTTTAAGAATACTTTGGAAGCAAAAATTTAAGCTTCCTCACAGCTCTGAAAAGGACTTAAATACTATGCTACTAATTAGTGATTGTGATGGACCCAGCTGTGGAGATTAAAATTTCAGAAACGCTTTTAGATCTGTACAATTAGGACTGTTCTTTAATGCCCCCATGTATAAAAGCTGGTGGTTTTCTGTAATAGCCTTTTTAATTGAACAATGTGCCAGAGTTTCTAATTTCTAGCAAAGTAAAAGATGCCTAAAATAATTCTCTGAAGAAATACAGGGAATTTTAGTAAATATTCAAAAAATGATGGAAATCTAGGCTTTTTACAAACCTAGAGCCAATTTTCAATTATCCACAAAACTATGGGCAGCCACATCACCAGGGTTTCTCAGCCTTGGCAATACTAATATTTTGGGGGCCATCTAATTCTTTCTTATGGGGGGGCTGTCCTGTGCATTGTGGGATGGTTAGCAGTACGCCTAGCCTCTATATACTAGATGCCAGTAACACACATCTCACACAAACACACACACGCTCTTGTCAAAAATGTCTCCAGGCATTACCCAATTACCCCTTTTGAGAACCATTGCACATTGCCATGTAAAGTTAAATATGACCTTAAAAGCAGACCCCTGGGCTCCACTGCCAGAGCACAGAAGGGTTGGCACTCTCTCTGCCTCATCAACCCTAACTCCGTCCCTTTTCCTCCAACTCCGTTTGCTTCTCCCTTCTGTTCCTACCTTCATATGGCTAGCCTGGGGTACTCTTGGGATAAATGATAAAATTAATAACAACAGTAGCACAGGAGCTGTCACCTACTGAGCACTTATCTCATGGTAAGCAAAAAGCTAAGCACATAATTTCATGTAATCCTTATACCGATTCTGTATGTTAGGTGTTATTAGCCCTATTTCACAGATGGCAAAACTGAGGGTGGAACAAGTTAACTGACTTGTCTAATTTCACACAGCTTATAAGTAGGAGAGGCAGGATCAAACCCAGGTCTACCTGACGTCAGAGGCTGTGCTTGCTCTCACCACTAAACTATACTGTTGTTTCTCTGAGTAGTGAGAATATTCCCCATTTCCATGTGACGTGACTTCCATTAGAGTGACTCCACAGGCCTTCCTTCTCTCTGCCCCTTAATTCATTCTCATGGGGTGGTAGGGTGCTGGCAGCAGGGGAAGTACCAGCTTATCTGATGGGTAAATTGAAAGAAGAAACTGAGCATGCCCAGTCCCACCCTCTTTCCTGGCTTCTAGGATCCTCCTGCCAGCAGAGAGCACATGGTCTCAAATCCCTCCTTCCATAAAGCAAGAGCCCGCATGGGTAGTCCCCGACCCAGCCACATGCTTAATTTGTGGTTGTCCAGTTCTGCACATGACCAGGTGGATAAACCTTTATTCTGAGGGTAGTATTAACAAGCCCACTTAGCTACAAGTCTAAGCCACATCTTCAAAGAGTTTTATCAGTTATAATGCTGATACTTTGATCTTCATCCATCTAACTTCTGTATTTACCTCTCATTTTCATTCCCAACTGGAACCCTCCCACTACGCACGACTGAGCACAATGCCTTGCACATATACATTCACAATAAACGTGGTGGAGCTCGCAATCTCAGACAGTGGTAACCTGACAAGGACTTGCTCGATTCCTACACAATCCTTTCAGTTCTGCGGAGTGATGTCAAACCATGACAAATGCCTAGATGACATCCTCTTCCCTTTCAAACTTTAAAAAAAATCAGGTCAACTAATGCATACCCTGCCTTTACTGCTCTCCCAGCTCCTTGATGGAGATTCTTTCGGGCAATGAGACCACACATGGAAGAGTTCAGGGGAACACTCCATATGCAATTATTGAGAGATGGCTACGACTATTTCCCATGTAATTCTTTTTGAGTTATTGCCTTCCTCTAAGAATAACACTGCATGTTTCAAAGTTCTTCCATTCAAACTGTTAAGGAAACTATGAGAACAAAGTACTAAAACTTACCAATTTTTCCAATAAGATTATTTTGAAGATAGAGAATTTTTAAATCCCGGCACCATTTGTCAATATGTTCTAGTTTTTCTATTTCTTGCTGATGCAAGGACAGTTCCTCCAGGGAAAAAATCACACAGTCATTGTGTTCTGCATTCCGTCTAATAAGATCTTCTGTGACTGAAAGAAAATACGCTACATATTACATTTCTATCCCCGTCGTTCAGCATCAGGTTATTACACTAATGCGTTGGTTTCTCTTTGCAGTTAAATGTCAATTCTCCAGGCCCAGGTGATTTGCAAAAACAAAGAGATCAGAAGAATGCTGCCTCTTGCTGGAGTTTTTGTGAGGCCATGATGTAAGTCATAGGGAAGAAAGAGACATGGTGATATCTTAAGTCTCATTTGTCTTTGTATGTGTGGATGTAGGGTCTACACACATTTTGCTGTATAGATGGAGACAGAATTGACAGTCATGGCTATAAGAATGTTGATATGGAATCTCATGGTGATACCATGTCAAACTGGATGAGATCCACTAACTGATCCGAAACAGAGCAACTTGCCACTGAGAGGCACAGTCAGGCTGACAGAGAACAGAAATATGAAAACATCTGGAGTTCCGGTCGAGATGGCGGAATAGAGCATTCCCAGCATCACTCTCTCCCACAAATCAACCGATTTACAGCTATGAAAATGTAACATCAGCCAAGCTGGGGCTGCTGGAGCTCAGGGGAAGAGGAGGAGAAACCTACAGAGTTCATGAAGGTGGGAGAAACCACAATGAGAAAAAGAAAAAACTGCTTGGAGCGTTTTAGGCCACGGCCACTTCAAGGCTGGAACTGCTGAGTGCATGGAGCAGGAGCCTTCAGAAGCCACAACTGTGCCCTTCAGATGGAGTTACTTGGAGGCAGCAGGGGAGAAGAGGGCCTCAGTGGCCCCCAGGACAGCAAGACCACTAATAGGTTTCCCATGGACCCACGCAGGAGAGAGGAGCCAGAACAACTGAGAAAAGGGAGCCATTCAGAGGCCGGTGACTCAGTGCAAGGGACCAGCACAGGGCCCACCCCATGGGAAATGTTTGGAGCCCAGGTGGTGGGGGAGACAGGCCCACCAGGAGAACACTGGGACACAGCAAGGACAGCCGATCTGCCCTCCAATCAGCGCAGGACCACTCAGAGGAGACTGGTCGGGAATATAGAATTTCATGGGATGCAGTTTGATGAAAAAATTCAGGCCCAGGTCAGAGTTTCTACACAACCCAGGTGCATCAGGTCTCTGGAGAGCTGGAAGTAACTATAAGGTCAACCATTAAACCCCAAGCTGCACAAAAAGCCTTCCCTAGGGAATCAGCAGCAAAACAGCAATTTAGCTCAACCACACAGCTCAAGTACTGGTTCCCACAGGTAGTTCCCCCATTTTAGAAGTAAGCAAAAGACAAAAAATTAGTTCTGGCAAAGGCATGCCACCAGTGTCTTGGGGTCTGCCAGGGGAAATGAGACATGGAACTGGGGACCAGACCCAGGAACCAGACCCCCACCCACAACCACTCACACCACCAGTGCCTCAGGGCCCCGCCAGAGGCCCAGGGCATGGATCTGGGGACCAGACCCCCCTCCCACAACCAGGCACACCATGCCAGTGCCTCGGGGTCTGCACAGGGACCCAAGGCATGGAGAAGGGGACTGGACCTCCCTCTCACAACCAGGCACACCATGCCAGCACCTCGGGGCCTGCCCAGAGACCCAAGGCTTTAATCCGGGGACCAGACCTCCCTCCCACAACCAGGCACACTGCACCAGTACGTCATGTCCTGCCTGGGGACCCGAGGTATGGAGCTGGGGACCGGACACCCCCCATTACCTGGCACACCACCAGCACCAAGGAGTACATCAAAAACATCACCCTCATGTGGGTGGCCCACCACAGCCACCACAATAATCATGGCTGCTGTGAAAGTGGCTAGATGCCACAAACACCACACAGATGGTCCACCAGCCACTGGAATGCATTGACACAAGGAGAGTCACCAGCAGAGATAAAGAAAAGAAGAAGATATCTCTCTCCACAAAGCCCATTCCAGAGTGACAGAAGCAGCATCTGCTCTATGATAATATTGGGGGACCTGATCACACCTCTCAGCGTTGGACAGATTATCTAGACAACAAATTAACAGAGTAACCATTACTCTTTCAGAAGGAGAGAAGAAATCTAGAGTATTTCAAGGGTGGAGGGGAGAGGGAGAGGGGAATAGGGAGAGATTGGACAGGGGGTATAAAGAATAATTACAATCTGTAACAATATATATGCTAGTAATATTGATTTGATCAATGTATCTCAATGTTGAACCCCAAAAATATGTATAATCAATTTTGATTCAATAAAAATTTTTTAAAAAGAAAAGAAAGAAATATGAAAACATCTCACACCATTCACTAAGGAAGGGTCACTCATTCATTCATTCATTTAACATATATTTGCTAATTTAACTAAAGCTTAAGAAAAAGGAAAGGAACACCCAGATCTTGCATTACAATTATATTAAGCAGCTACACTCATTCTGTTTCCAAGAGAAATAGAAAAAGCTGCTCACAGGAGGAGTAATGGGATCTCCCACCCCTCTGACAAGAGCGATGTGTAACACTGGGCTTCTGACACAGAAGGTCAGTGATATGTGATGACAGTGGCACCAGAAGACTTGATAGAATGCTATGGTCTACGGTTGGAGCCAAGAACAAGATCATGAACCATCTTCATAAGATGCACTGAAATCAAAGAGCTACAGCAGTAGGGAAACCACGCACTTTCTAGGGCTACTAAAAATGTTATTAATGTAGTTGAACCCTTATATTCTAGCTCTATTCTAAATGATCTGCAAGTGTTAATGTATAAATATATAGAGTTATTATTTATATTTGTCAGATGAGGAATTGAAGCACAGAGAATTTAAATAACTTGCCCAGGTCTTGGTAGTAAGTGCTAGAGCCAGGTTTTAAATTCACAGTCCAGTGCCAGACCACGTGCTCTTAACCACTATGCTACAGAACCTCAAACATGAGCAAATAAGAGCCTGTTGAGATTTCTCAGGCTTCCTGAATGTGCAGTCTCCCCTAGATGAGACAAAGCTCTTCACAGCAGCTTCACCTGCCCCACCTCTGTGCCACATCCTGAAAAGTGAACTTTCCCTTTATTTAAATGTAAAAACATGTATAAACTTGATCCCTTCTGTGCAGTTAGCTGAGCTCTCTGCTACTTCTGGCAGGAGGAGACAGGGTTGCTTGCAATGACAGTGCTTTAGAAGAAAGACAAGGGGAATGTAGAAACCAAGAGAGTAAAACACACACATGGGGAATGTCCCTGCTGCTATAAGCTTTGGCTCAACTAACAGGCAGAGATGGCTCCTCACCAGGTCCTGGGAAGGGGCAGGCCAAAGTGGCTGGGATGGAGGCTGAGAGGGCAGCCCCACCAGCCCTGGCTCGCTGGGATTCTCACTGCCAGCTACACTCTGCTGTCCCAAAATGCCACTACTAGTTTGCAAGCCAGCTTAAATAGACTGCTCTATTCAAAGAAAAGAAGTGGAGGGTGGAGGGGTGGGGAGACATCCTGAAAACCAAACCTGTAAGAACAGGGCATTAAAACTACTCTCCACCCCACTGCACCTCCAACCCCAAAGTTGGTTCACATAGCTTAAATCAACTGATAATAAATAAATGGGTACAGCCTGTTTGAAGATACAGCTAAGCTGCTGTGTAAAGTAAAATCCACTATCTATATGTTATTTATGTATAAGAACTATCTTAGCAGGGATGCAACATGGGTTAAGAGGTTGAGAGGGCACTACCAATTTTATCTGAGCTAATTTAATAAAATGTGGGAATAATTCACCACGACTAGTAAAACCCTCAGTGAATGATGGTGTATCTGTGACTTAAACTACACAGCTCCATGGAGCAAATGGTGGAATGCTGGAGGTCTTGCTGCCATTAGACCTGGAGTCCATGGGGTCAGGAGGACATGCCCATCCAGAGCCCATGCCCTCACCTCTAGACCACATCCCATGAAGGGAACAACGGGATGCTCTGCCTCCAAGCCCTGCACTGGCCACTGAAGACAGACTGTGCCATCGGATATGCACTCACACCCAGGGCTGTCCAAGGAGCACTGTTTGCTGGAATATGGATGGCTTCCATGTGTTGGCTGGATTATCCACCCTCATCTGAAGGCATGAAGGGCCACACAGAGCTAGGGGTGGGAAGAGAAGGGAGAAGTGGACCAGGGGACCAGCTCTCCCCAAGCCACCGCACTCTGGCATAGAACTCCAAGGAGTCTGAGAAACATATTAAATGCAGCCTTCTGGATGTCATGAAAGTACACTTGTCAAGGGAGGAAGATGCATTTTATCTAGCAGTTTGATTTATAACTTGACACATGTGCCTTTACTTATATTCTTGCCCCAGATCCTAGTTGAAGGCTTACTTTGGTATCCATATTGAAGATAAAACCTAACTTGAACCCCATAGACACTGTCTTCTGTGGTTAAGTCAAATGTGCTCAGGGGAATTCTGATTGCATCTTAAGTATTACCTGGTCTGTGGTTTCCTGAGGCCACATGTGCATTTGCACAGCCCACATGGGCTTCCTGGCTCTCAAGGCTGCTAAAGGTATAATAGGTTCCTCCATCTCTACAGTCCTAAAGGCTTTTCCAATTTGCCCAACCCTGAAGACTTATAGTGTTGACAAGGTTCCTTTTGGTACCAAATGTCTTTCCTGTATTCTCTTGCTGATCCTTTCAAAATTTAGAAACTCTTTATCATGCTATTATGTGTGTAAAATTGATCATTTGCATACAATTGTCAAACCTCCCCTTTCAGTGGCACGTAACTAGTAGGAAGGAATTATGTTGATCCATCTCCTAACCAGGAGAATTAAGATGATAAAAATCACCATTAGTTTGAAGAGGTGTGGGTGGGGGAACCTCCCTTAGCATGAATAACCAATTTACACACACACACACACACACACACACGCACACACACACACACACACACACACAAGAGAGGAGGGACACAACAGTTCATTCAACACAACAGGGAAGTTTGCCCAACAGCAACAATTATACACATTAGTATAGATTAAAAGAGAATGGTGAATTACAGAGGAAAGTAGAATTGTGAAGGTCT